TCACCGGGATGTCGGCCGGGCGGATGGCTCGGCTGACCGGGGCTGGGCCGACTGAGCCATCCGCTGTCCGCTCTCTGCAGTCCCATCTCTGGCGTTCCCACGCGATTCCCACGAAATTCTCTTGAGATTCCCACGCGATTCCCTAGATTCCCATGAGATTCCCATGGGGAAATTGGACGGGGTGCCCCAAAGAGCATAAATTAAAAATTAAATTCCAAGGCATCGTGAATTACATGATTCGTTCTCCAAAGTTTATAGAGGTATTACAGCTGAGCTTCTGGTTAAGCTTCAAACCTTTAGCTTAACCTTTAACTTAACCTTAACTCACCGCATCGGCTTCCGAGTATTTTTTAAAACATATGTTACTGCTTAATAAATTGCTTTTCAAAATTTCCGCGAAAATGTAGATAGTGATAGTTTTTTTGGTTCACCCTCTGATTCCTTTTGTCCGTTCAACCCCCCTGCCCCCCATCGCCCCCCTCTTTCAGTCTAAGGGTGGGCGGAGACGCACGATGCACCCCAGAGGCCTCAGAAACGTTCATTTCCTTCGTTCCATCGCGGACCTGTCGACCCACATCTCGATCCACCTGTCGATCCACCCGTCGATCCACCTGTGAAATCCGCTGCGAACGAGAATGGAAACGGGAACAGGAAACGACGGAGTACCTCCAGACGATTTCCGCCTTTCAGTTTCCTGTCCTACTGAGTACTTGGCTTCGATAAGACGGGTACTTATCGCTCTACCGTTCGTATCTCCGTGTTTCTCCAATGCAAACATTATATTTGTTTACTTTATTTATTTATTTATTTTATTTTCCAAGCCAGGGACTTCTGGGAAACGCGATCCGCATTGCATAAATCTCATTAAGATGGCATCCGATGCCGAACGATCCCGTGCATCGATTGAATGGGAGGATGCCGTGCATCGATTGAATGGGAGGATGCCGTGCATCGATTGAATGGGAGGATGCCGTGCATCGATTGAATGGGAGAATGCCGTGCATCGATTGAATTGAATGACTCGGCGAATAACGCAGGGGATGCGTCCTCGTCGAGGATCTTCGGCAGCCTTGCTCCCATCAATTGGTAGCTCAATTCGTGACATAATTACGGTATGGGTGAAGGTGTGATTTTCTCTTTCCCCGCTTGAGGCTAATGGACAAATTCAACGAGGAACTGCGAATCGCGTGCCCGCCGCGAACTTCGACCGACCGAGACGAGGGCCGCCGCGATCCCAGTCGGCCGGGAGGCAGCTGCGATCCCGGTCGGCTGGTTTTTCCGTTTCGCGAGGAACGGAGAGACGACTGAAATCGTCGAAGGGAAAATGAGAGAAAAGTCTCAATTTTCCTTATCGGTTGCCGTTGGCCGGACGATCGCGAAGAGTTATCTCAACGTTACGCGATGTTACTCAACGTTACACGGCCTTTGCTCCCCTCGGAGTTCGTTTATCTCGAGTGGCTGTTTTTCCAGTCTAGAAATTCTCGGAATCCTCTAAACTCTTAGTTTTTTTAGCAGCTTTTAAGAGCGTTTCCGAGCGAGGCGGACGGGAGTCGACTGTGGCGGGGCGGGGCGGGGAGGTCGGCTCCGCTCCGCTCCGTCTTCGCTTCGTCTTCCAGTCTCGACCGAGGTGAGTCGGCATGCTTCACCTTCCAATATTTGCTGGGATCTCAGGTCGACCTGTTTCGTCTCGGCTGCCGACATCAGATCGACACGGCCGCCGACATCAAATCCACACGGCTGCGCTTTGGCATGGTTCGCACACGGACGAATTGTCGTCTTGGCGGTGGTATTCGTATTAATGATAATAGTAGTAATAGTGATAATAATAATATAAATAATATTAGTGTCCTCGGGCGGATTCCCAATTGCAGCTTTCGTCGCTGTCGATATTTTGCCAAAAAAATTGGCAACATTTTTTTCCACGATTTCCATCAAATGATGTCATGCAGTTTAAGCTAATCGCTCATCCCTTTTAGAAAATTGGGACTTTTGTACCACGGAGATTCCTCATCCTGTTGGCCATTACAACCTGCTCACGGCGCGCAACGGCGTGCGTTCCCTCGGAATGCGAAAATTTGAATTTAAAAATTGCAATTAAAAAAAATTCCATACTATTGAAAAAAAAATTAATTTCGATAGCAATTATATATTATTGCCGTTATTATCAGACAGCATTTTCTATTTCACTATTTTAGAAATTTTACCTACTAATATTTTTTTGCGAAAGACGCCTCGAGTGGCAATAAGGAGTTTTCACGGAAGTAATTAAAAATACTTTTTTTTTTCCCAGAGACGAAACGATCTCGGTCCGAAACCGACCCCGACCGACGGAGATCGGACGAGGGAAGTCGCTTCAGCCTCCCGGTCTCCTTCGAGACCCGGCATCCGGTTCGAAGGAGGGACGAACATGCAAGGCGATTGGCCCCCGCTACCAGAGCCTTCCGATCGCACGAGACGATGGGTCCCACGGAAGATTGCCCACGACCCACCGCCTCCTCCACCGACCCACCGCTGCCTCCAGCGCGCCACGTGCTACATGTCCCATTTGTCGCTGTCCTCCCACCAAGGAGTCGAAGCATCGTTCACGCCTCAGCGACTCCAAGCAGAGGATTCATCCATCTCCAATTTCCATCGAATAGACAAAATAACACGGTGGAAAGGAAATGCACGAGAGAGAACAAGTATTAACCGATGTTAATATTGCTGTTGTAATCGTCATAAAAATATTAATTATATTACAATTACTATTACTACTGTTATCGCGCCTAACACTGTTATTCATAATAATCTTATTGTTGTTAATACTGTCACTGCTGTTAACAATGTTACTGCTCTTAATCTTGTTTCTGCTGTAAACACTCTTACAGCCCTTAATACTGACGTTATTGTTGTTAACGCTGTTACTGCTCTTAATACTAACGTTATTACTGTTACGATTACTATTTTTGTGAGATTGCCATTACCGAACGTTACCTACTACCGAGTAATCGTTTAATACATTATGCCCTTCATGGCTCGATATATTAAGAAGGGAATTCGTAACATACTGAATGAACCTTGAGTTGAGCCTCGAGGGTTCGTCCTTCGATTGAGATTCGATTCGGAAGGATTCGTGACCTGTTTTGCATTTTCGGCAAGGAAAATAAATAAAGAAATTTGCGAAAACAAAAAATAAGGTTTAAAAAAAGAAATGGAATAGAGGAAAAGTGACGTGCGATCTCACTGCATCGCGGAGCGTCACTGGATGCCCTGGACTTGAGCGACATCTCCAGAGAGCCTTATCAACTATCGTTTGAGTTCTGCAAACATAGATGGCAGAAATGGACCATTAGCCTAGGTTGGTTTTTTTTTTTTCGAGTTCCGTCGCGCTAATTTCCAGGAGTTTTTCTTTCAATGGAATGACAAGGTCAGTCTCATCAGAGGCGTCTATCGACTTCTGTTTTTTTCGATCTTTCCGTGGAGAAAATCCTCCTCTTTAAACATTAAAAAAATATTTTAAATGCCACTTCCTGAGAAGAATGGAGCCGACTTTGAGAACCATTCCCATAAGAAATCGAATTCCTTCAGGCATAATACAATGGCCTCATTATCAAGTGACTGGAGCGCGGGTGGGAAAAAAATGGATTTAATTATTATATTTTTGATATGCTCTCACTTCGACGACGGGGGGAATATCACTTACTCAAGGCGTTCCACGTGATAATCATCTTAGATACGCCAGCCTAGCCTCGCGGCCGCGTGCATTCCTCCAGACGTTCCTCGGCGCACTGACCGTCACGTCTGGCGTCTCATTGGCGGAACATCTTCGTTCCTTCGGCGGGTAGGCGTGACGTCATCATCCGTTCTCGTCTCGAGGTGGTGGGCGTATTCGCGAATTGGCGACTCTACCTAGCGGGTTATGTAGATTATGAACCTTGCGTCTTTCGCACTGCACGATTTTGATGCTGAGAATTTTTTAAAATTCGCTTTGGCTTCTTTCTTACCATGCAACAACCATTCTGTAACCGCATGTATTTGGGTTGTTTGTAATTATTTTAAATGACTTGTTCTAAGAGACTCCAATGCAATTTCATACAAATGTTGAATCACTTGCTTCGTTTCCCAGTGTTCAGGATCTCAGTTCTTCCAGGTGCGCCATTCCATCGTCTCTCTGGGGCATTCTCTCGTTTTGTTTTTTTTGCTGACAATAAATTTTGGTTGCCGGTCTGAAAGCGCTTTAACGGGAAAGGGGGACGAGCTCGTCCGCAGATGCGTCTCGTTCGTTCGTTCCAAATCTGTTCTTATTTTCTCATTGTGTCATTAGGGTCGTGCTTGGTTTTGATATTTTTGGTCCTAGCATGTATATTTTTTCCTAGTCTGTGAAATCATGTCAAGTGGTAGCACTTGAAATATATAAATAAAATTATGTGCTAGGTCATTTTGGCGTAGGGGCAGGGGAAGCAAAGAAACGCAGGCAGTTTCCGGCTTACGAGCTGAGCCACCAAATCCCCTCGATTCACGCCAGAGCCGATTTGGGCAAGGTCTGCTGCTCGCAAAGATGTTTTTCGACGTGTGTTGGAACCCTAGGTTTCTCATCGCAGCGTCACGATGAGTGTGTCTTTTCGAGAAATAACGAGAGGAAAAACGGGGAAAATGTTCTCTTTGTTAGAGGGTGGGGCATGTTTACCAGCTTTCTTTACAGGACATGTCGATCAACCTCGTCGGCTGGAACGTGAATTGAACGCATGAAACCGTTGAAGGCAGGCTTTTCCTATTGAATTTCCAGTCCTTGTCATCCTAAAAATAAAAGCATTGGACAGACTTCGGTGAACTCAGGTCTCATACCCACAGAGTGGGTATGAGACCTGCTCAGAAGGTAGCAACTCAAGCAGGTTGCTTTCAGAGAGAGTCTTCTTAGGAATTAAGAATTACAGACAACAAAGGTGTCCATCGTCACCCGTGTGGATGCAAGTACGCCAAAATGACCTAGCACATAATTTTATTTATATATTTCAAGTGCTACCACTTGACATGATTTCACAGACTAGGAAAAAATATACATGCTAGGACCAAAAATATCAAAACCAAGCACGACCCTAACGACATAATGAGAAAATAAGAACAGATTCGGAACGAACGAACGAACGAGACGCATCTGCGGACGAGCTCGTCCCCCTTTCCCGTTAAAGCGCTTTCAGACCGGCAACCAAAATTTATTGTCAACAAAAAAACAAAACGAGAGAATGCCCCAGAGAGACGATGGAATGGCGCACCTGGAAGAACTGAGATCCTGAACACTGGGAAACGAAGTAAGTGATTCTAATCTCCCATAAGACAAACGATGGTAATGTATCTGGCTATCATTTGCATCCATGTCAATGCTGAGTGACACGAGGACGAGACGATAATGGACATCAAGCAGAAGGACCCCCACTAACTTAACGTACCCTTGACCCAGCCCATCACAGTAGTAGCCTTCTATGCACGAGTCGATGCAGTGCATGTGGTCATCTTTCTATGAAGATAAAGTATTATTGTGAGAAGAACTTAAGTGCACTTTTTTGCATGTTATTGTTGGGGGGTTGTAAGATGTTAAAGTTCATCACGTGGTGATTTCTTGAAGGAGTTAAGGATGTTGAGGCGATTCTGCATCTCCTCCTTCTTCTCCTTATTGATTTTATCTTTGACAAGCTTCTCGATCCTATCGACTTCTCCGGGAACGAAGGAGTCGCCCTTCTCGATGGCCTTACGCATGATCTTGACATAGGTCTCGGCTGCAACCTGCTGGGTCTTGCCCTTCACCTTGTCCCACTCGTCCTCGGCCTCCCGCAAGATCTTCCGGCGTGCATCCTCGGATGTCTCGGACATGAACTGCATCGCGAGCCGGTCAAACTGCTCAAGGCACCCTGGCAAGGACATCCAGATCCCGGACTTGGTGGAGAGAAACCGCATCAGTTCGGACGACTTCCACTCCCCTTCGTAGGGGATCGGGTCCTGGTCCCCGATGAACAGCTTGGCCACGGGGAAGTTCTTGGCGTCGACATTGAACCGCTGGGCCAGGTCCTCGTTGTCCTTGTCTCCATAGTCCTTCACATTGACCTCAGCAATCAGGAGATCTGGGATGTCTCGGGCTGCTTCAGCCACTTTGGCGAACTCCTCATGTTTTTCTCCATATGGATAGGCCACATCAAACTTCAGGAGGGTTGCCTTGAATTTTGACAGCACCTGAAAATTTAAGAAAAGTAAATTTTTCTATTAGACAGGAGGTAGGATATAGGGCTCTGAAGCAAGTATTGTTTATTACAACATGAGTGTTTTAGACATATTCCATATTTCTTTTGGCACTTAACATTTATACAACAGGAAACTTTCAAGTGGCCTGAATTGTTTGGCATAGTCTGTCTGCAGTGAAAGTGTGAATTTAGGAATGGTCTCTTGTATTAGTTCCTACCAAATTGTGCCCTTGTAACTTAGCGGACAGCAATGAGGATAATTATTTTTTATGTTACAGGTACAACTCATACCATAGCAGTGACTTTGATTTTAATTTTGACTGTGAGCCTATTAGGTCAGGTTTATTATTATTAGGTAGTTATTTTATTTATTATTAGGTAGTTGCACAACAGCAAACATCATTTATGAAGGATGGATGGGATAAAAAAGACCAGTAACACAACCAAGCTTCAAGAAAGAAGAGTGGTAGGAATAAAAATCTGATGACCACAGATGGTAGTTGCAATATATACATTGCCATAAGGGTATGGAAAGGAGAATTCACTGAGTGATGGGGGGGGGGGGGGGGGATTATCTAAATAATATCCTTCCTCAAACAACAGCACCATCCCAAGTGGTTAAAATGGTTTTTCCTTAGCTTTTCAATGTCTCCAAAGGTGATATGGATCAGATTGACCCGTCACACCCAGTAACCATTAGGCTATCTTACGGGCACATTTTGTTGTCAGTTGCTTTTATGGGTCAGAGAGCAGACCCTTTTTGTGACACAGTAATGTTTGAATTTCAGAGCTGAAACCAAGTTTCTTTTCTAGTTTCTAAGGCAAGTTTACTGGAAGAACTGATATACTATATAATGAAATGTTCCTCAGTCCTCCTTCCTCTAGGTAAGATTAGAATGCTGTCAGAAGTATTCTGAGGGCACCACTGGAAACAGCCATTTTGTACAATGGTGCAAATTTTAGCAATCTGTTCTCAGTGAAGCAACATTCTACCACATGCAATGAGTTAGCATGATAAGGAATAGAAGTTAATGCTTCAGCTGCCAAGTGGATTTCAAGTCTGGACGATGTAAATAATTAAGAATGCTAGGCATATGTTTGATGAGGCCCTTCAAGAAGGATCAGATATTCTGTCACACATCATGCTGCTGAAGGCACGATTCCTACTATTATTAACATATTACATAATTTAGGCCTGGACCTTTCACGGACGGAAATAATAAGGCTGCAGTTCATGGAAACACAGTATACGATGTAATTCCCGTCGAGGGTGAGGAAAAGCAATGGAGAAACCACGAAAACTTGGCTATGGGAGCTCTAGCCTAACATTCGTCCGTTACGGGAGACGTGTGGTAAAAAGTGCGGAAATCACGTTTATAAAGCCACATTTGATTTCTTTCGGTCATATTTTTACTTCGCAGAACATCCCTTCAGAATCTACTGTCGGACTCCACAGACAATTGTCAGTCCATAAGGATTCACATCACTAGGGAAGCGTCCTCAGCCAAGCAATCAGACCAGAAAAAAAAAATTCGACTTCACCTTATCGAAGGTCCACGTGTCCAAGGGGAGAAGGCCCTTCGCATTGCTGGCAGTGCTCAGACCGAGATACTGCAGGCAGACGAGGAAAAAGAGGCTTCGAGTCGAGAAAGCCATCCTTCCAAGATGAAATGGCACTGCCCAGCCCCCGGCCGGTCTCGATAGACGCCCACGAGCCGATTCCCTGAAGGATGTCCTTCGCGATGTTTTGTTCACGGGTGCTGAAATCATATTTGAGATTTTTTCTCACCTGGAATTCCGTATCACCGTATTTCCGATGCAGAAGAAGTCAAAGCTACACTAAAAGACGAAAAGCAGAGGAAGGTTGCTATATCGTGTACAAACTTTCGAAAATATGAATTTATTTTAACAACGTTTACACGCCAAGATCTGGCATCCTTCAGGACAGGCGACCAATGCATTTCGCCCACGTGTTGAAATGTTGGAACCGGACACGGAATTTGCATTGCAAAAAACCCCCCCATAAAAGCATTCAAGGGCGTCAAGGTGATCGCTGTACGTACGAACCAGCACCAGAGGCTCGCCGTTTGAATAAAATGCGTCACTTTAACTGGAACCAGCTGATGTTGGAGATATTTATTTTACGTCAGCAGGTGACACAACACCCCTGACGGATTTCATCATGTCCCCTCGCTCGGAGGCTTCGCGTCACACCACGTGGCCGGTTTTATTTTCTTAGTATTGAGGCTTGTCAATCCGTCATCCGGTTCAGTCGTATTCTTGCAAAGGATGCGGAGACACCGATTGGTGAAGTTGGGACTCCATAGTAGGCCTAGTTCGACTTAGGCGTGGCAAGCAGTTTTCACTCTTCGTGTTCGCCGCTGCATCAGGCTCACGTTTTAGAGTGGCCCAGGCCACACTTATTGCCGCTGTTGTGTAAGTTATGAATAAGTAAAGTATATGAGGCTATAGATAGAGTGCTTATGAGCCGTGGAGAGTCATAAACCCTCTAATGATCCCCAAAGGGGACATAGAGCAACAAGTGGCCATCTGCACAAATGGAAAGAAGACGAGAAACTAATGAGACATGAGATCATCCAGAAACTCTGGGGAAATTGAGGCAATTGTTCAAAATCGTCAACTATTACAAAATGTTTTCCTGAATGCTAATGGTTAAAAACATATGATGCATGGAAGAAGAAGGGGTAATTTGTACAGTGTCTTCATGACTTGGTAGATGATGCAGGAATTTTTATGAAGGATCAAGTGGTGCTACTCTTCTGAGAGAAAATTGTGTCAGGGAAGTGTCAGTTATGGGCCTAGAGGCAAATGCTGGTTCAGTACTTTTGAGGAATTCATGATTGTATTCTTCCCAGCTTTGGTAATTACAGGTCTTCACATGTACACCATGTCAATTCTCGATTCAAGTCCATCTCCTTTTATGCATTTCATTGTCACTCTTGACATGATTGTGGGCACCTGAACCATTATTTTTGGCTCTTTGATGTACGTATGCCCACATTTACTTCCTTTCTATGTTTTTCTGATTTCACCCATTGTTTAGTTTCTTACACATCTGGATGTGATATGATTCATGGACAGAAGTTTTTTGTATTAATTATTGTAACTTGAAAATTCATTGGTACCTTGAGTAAGGGAGGGAAACTATGAACAATATTTTTAGAAGAATTTTTACAATGTTACAGGGCAATGTGGTAGAAAAAGGAATTTAGTGTGAGATTGGTCTATGTTAGGGAAAGGTGAAGTCTTATTATATTGCTGGTGCTCAATGTATAGATACTATTAGAGCAAGTTCAAAGCAGGCATGAAGTGTATGTTAATTTGGAGGCTGCCTAGAAATGGAGTGCAGCAGTGTCATGTATGGAAAATATATTAAAAGTGGCCCTGGATGATTCTCATTCTTAAGTTAATCTGACTCAAGTAACTGAGCAGACTGACTTCCTGGGTTCCTGGCAGAAATGATGATAATCATTACCTTTTTCTTGTCATGTGGATGAAATCCACTGTATATTGCAAGTGAGTATGGTTGGTAACGAAGTTGGTTCCAGTGGCAGGGAACAGGATTTTTGAAACTAACCAAGTTTGGCATTTATTTCAAAGCACCAGCCTTAGCGTGCAAGGGAAGGAGGACCTGAGCAGTGGGACTCCCGTTTCTAGATTTAGGGTGTTGAAGAACCTTGTGGTAAAAGCCAAATCCTGGTTGCTCATCCCTATTGTTACTGTTTGAGCAAAATTGAGTCTCTCAATGTTGGAGGTTTTTTTTGCTAGTTAACTTTACAAGAAGAAAAGATTAGCTGGTCTTCCACAGTTAGGGTGCAAGCACGGGGGAGAGTCTCTTGCATCTAATACCATATCATAAAATTTTGAATTGTGTTAAATATTCTAAGTGGAGTCATTATTTCCTCCATCAATTGGCTATTATTATGTTGCTTTTATGAATAGTCCATATTTGGTGGTTCACAAAGCCTGTGCAATGCAAGGAAACCAAGTTCTATTAAAACTTTTATATTAGTTCCTCTCCTAGGTCAATGAGTCCTGTTGGGTAAGGGAGTGACTTAAGACCTCGTCTTTTTGATGTGGCAATATATTACATAGCCACACTCAGGAAGCAGATGAGCACACATAAGTCCCCATGAAAACCGGAACTAGATAAGATAAAATGTTCATATACTACATGATTGCCTTGAAATTTGTATTAGATAATTTTCCCACCCTAGACCTAAGCCCTAATATCAGATACTGACTGTAGAATGCACATAGAGATATTCAATGTAAACTGATATGGTTTGGTAATTGATATACTTTTTATGGTTGACATGAGGTGATGGCAGATGAGTGCATGTTCTACCACCTAGCTTTTTGGATCTAATGAGCATTCCTATGAGTAAGCTATTTTTCTTCATTGAATCTTTAATTGAGTCTGTTGTAGACAGATGGCATCAATGATAGCTAACAAAAAACATTGGTCAAATGCTGAGTTCTCTGAAAATCACTGATCCTATTGATAGTTGCAGTGTTTTATGCATGTCCTTCTCAGTGTGTTGGATACACCAGTTTTAAAAGGGGATGCACTTGTTCTCAGCATTGTATTGATGCAATTTTTTTTTTTAAGACTCCAGCAAGCATTCTGTTACATTGATTATTCAGAGCTAATAGCATAAGGGATTCCTCATGATGAGAATGACTCAAATGCTGCTCAATCTCTCCTTCAGACTATAGCAGGGGTTCTTTATCTTTTTGCACCTACGGATCCACCAGATCCTCAAGTATTTACCCATGGACCCCCACCCCCACTTATAAGAAACTTTGGAACACCTGGATTTGTAACTATAAATGTTGTTTTTTGGGAGCTACCTTTAATTATACATTTAATTTTCCATGGATCCTCCACGGACCCCAGGTTAAGAACCCCTGGACTAGAGTATAGCATGTACCTTCGTGGTAATCCACCACTATGAAACAATTTTACCAGACGAAATAAAATAGATATCATGGCAAAGACTCCCAGCATTGAACCAGGTTCTTAATCCTCCTTTAATTGAAATATATTCAAGAAAACATGTTCAGTACAAAGGCCATTGAATTAGAGACCTGTGAAATTTCATGTTAATTTTTTTCTGTCTTAGGGAAGCTATGAGGAATCACTTGAAAGGAATCTGAAATTGGAATTATATGGGCACCCATATAGAAATTGCATCACAACTGCATTTCATTGGCTTGTGTTTAGCTTTTTCCCTATTAATGACAAAATCAATGATTGCATTGCTGCAATGAGTTTATTTTGAACTTCTGAATGGTAAAGGGGTGTAACCCCTCATTCAGTTACAATGTGATGCCAGAAAGAATTTATATGAAGTTTTGAAAGTCTCTTGAGTGCATGTCTGACCACGCTTGGTGCATGTTTTGTGAAAATATAGTTGCTGAGAGCTGACCAAAATGGGTTCGCAGTTTGAGGCTCTTCTTAGCGATTTACCCAAAGTGATTTTAAACCTTACTGGCCTCAGGCATCTTTTTTTTCATGGCATATAAAATAGCATTCATGAAGTCAGAGGACTTTAAAGCATCAGTGTGTGTATTTAGGAGTAGTTATCTTTTTTTAAATACATTATTATTTTTATTTTTGCCTTGGAATAACTTTTAAAGTAAAAAGTACACGATTGTGATACTAAAATAAATATGTGGCATCATGTATTTATATTTTGCAAATATTTTTTGCCTCAAAATATTAAAATTGTGCCCTATATAATAATCATAATAATAATAGTAATAAAGTAATAATAGTCTAATAGTTTTGCTGCCCATCCCTGATCTAAATGTATTTTCATATTTGCCCGTTTTTACAGGTGTAGTTGTTGCTTCTGGTTGCAGTCTCTCCGACAGCCTGCCAGAATGAAGTTGAAATTATTGGCATCGAAGGACTCGCCACCGCTGGCAGCGCTCCTCGCCGTGCACCACGTGGGGGAGGAGTTTCCGGTGAGCGTGGAGTGGGGGGAGACGACGGCCTTGGCGGTGTCGGCCGAGACGACTTTCACGACCCAGGAGTCGATCTGCCGGTATGTTGCGAGGCAGGTCCGCGGGGCGTATCTGTATGGGGATGGGGCGTTGAAGAACGCGGAGGTGGATCACTGGGTGCGGTATTGCTTGGGCCCACTCTCGAACGAGGAAGCTGAGAAGTGCCTTAAGTACATCGATGATGCGCTACTGCCGGTGCAATACCTGACGGGGAATCAGCTGACCATTGCCGACTTCATGGTGTGGTCCTACATTCACGAGATGATGCATTCGAACCCAAAGCTGAACCGCAAGACCATGCCGGGCAACGTCATTCGCTGGTACGAATTCATCGAGGCCCAGCCATGGTGCCAAGCGGCATTGAAGTCCCTGCCGGACGGCGTAGTGGTGGGAAAAATCAAGCAAGAGAAGCAAGGAAACAAGACCAAAGACGAGGGGAAGTTCGTGGACCTCCCGGGAGCGGAGACGGGCAAGGTCGTGGTCCGCTTCCCACCCGAGGCGAGCGGGTACCTCCACATCGGCCACGCCAAGGCGGCCCTGCTCAACCAGTACTACCAGAGGAGTTTCAGCGGGAAGCTCATCATGCGCTTCGACGACACCAACCCGGAGAAGGAGAAGGCCGACTTTGAGCAGGTCATCCTGGAGGATCTCAGGCTCCTCGACGTCACCCCAGACAAGTTCACCCACACGAGCGACCACTTCGACCGGTTGCTCGGGTTTTGCGAGCAACTCCTGCGCGAGGGCAAGGCGTATGCGGACGACACAGACGCGGAGACGATGAAGCAAGAGCGAGAGCAGAAAGTCGAGTCGAAAAACCGAAAGAATTCCGTCGAGAAGAATCTGACCATGTGGGAGGAGATGAAGAAAGGTTCGGCGGCCGGCTTGAAATGCTGCGTGAGGGCGAAGATCGACATGCAGTCGATGAACGGGTGCATGCGGGACCCGACGATTTACCGCTGCAAGAACGAGCCACACGTTCGAACGGGTTTAAAGTACAAGGCCTATCCTACTTACGATTTCGCGTGTCCGATCGTCGACAGCCTCGAAGGCATCACCCACGCCCTGAGAACGACCGAGTACCACGACCGCGACGAGCAATACCTGTGGATCCTGGACCAGCTGGGCCTCCGAAAGCCTCACATCTGGGAGTTCAGCCGCCTGTGCATGACCAACACGGTAATGTCGAAGAGGAAGCTGACCTGGTTCGTCTCCGAGGGGCTGGTGGACGGGTGGGACGACCCGCGATTCCCGACGGTGAGGGGGGTACTCCGTCGCGGAATGACGGTCGAGGGGTTGAAGCAGTTCATCCTGGCGCAGGGATCGTCCAAGTCGGTGGTCACGATGGAGTGGGATAAGATTTGGGCGTTCAACAAGAAGGTGATCGATCCCATCGCGCCGCGTTACACGGCCCTTCAACGAGGTGTTCTCGTTTCCGTTCACGTGAAGGGGGTCACGGAGGCTCCGATATTCGCTCAGCTCCACCCGAAAGACCCGTCGATCGGGAAGAAGCCGGTGTGGATCACGCCGAACGTTCTCATCGAGCAGGAGGATGCCGACATGCTGAAGGAGGGCGAGAACGCGACGTTCATCAACTGGGGTAACCTGAAGATTCTGAAGCTCCATAAGACGGACGGGAAGGTGACGAAGGTGGAAGCGGAGCCGAACCTGGAGAACAAGGACTACAAGAAGACGCTGAAGCTGACCTGGCTCGCCGAGACGGACAAGGCGCCCCTGATCCCCTGCCGGTGCGTGTACTTCGACCACATCATCTCGAAGCCGGTCTTGGGCAAGGACGACGACTTCAAGCAGTTCCTCGGGCAGGACACCCGCGTGGAGGTGATGATGCTGGGCGACCCGGAGCTCGCCCGTCTCAAGCAAGGCGACATCATCCAGCTCCAGCGGAAGGGATTCTTCATCTGCGACGTTCCCTACAAGCCCTTCAATCCGTACACCTCGAAGGAGTCCCCGGTCATCCTGTTCTTCATCCCGGATGGCCACAGCAAGGAGATGCCGGCCAACAGCGCCTTGAAGAAGCAGAAGAACGCGACGGACGAGAAGGTGAAAAATGCAGCGAATTCATCCGAGGAGCTGGATGCGAAAATTCGTGCTCAGGGCGAGAAGGTCCGCATGTTGAAGTCTTCCAAAGTACCCAAGGATTCTGTCGACGCCGAGGTGAAGATCCTGTTGAGCCTCAAGGCCGAATACAAGGCCTGTGCCGGACGGGATTGGAAGCCGGACGCCGCACCTCCGCCAACGGCAGCTGCGCCGGCGAACGCCGCGGACCTGGATTCTTTAATAAGGGCGAAGGGCGAGCAGGTACGACAGCTGAAGAGCAGCAAGGCGGCGAAGGAGGCAGTCGACAAAGAGGTGAAGGCTCTGCTCGAGTTGAAGGCCCAATACAAACAGGCGACGGGAGCGGACTGGAAGCCGGATGCGGCGGCACCGGTGAAGGCGGATAAGGCCGGTGGTGGAGACGGCAGGAATCCCGGTGACCCAGCGGACCTCGGTGCCAAAATCGCGGAACAAGGGGACAAGGTGAGAAAGCTGAAGAGCAGCAAAGCCGCGAAGGAAGCAGTCGGTGCAGAGGTTGCCGTTCTGCTCCAGCTCAAGGCCGCCTACAAGGCCGCGACCGGTCAGGAATGGAAGCCGACCGTACAACCGACCGACACGACAGCCAAGACGCCAGCCAACGGCGTCGGGGACGTCGACGCACTGAAAGCCAAAGTCGAGGAACAGGGGAACAAAGTGAGGGATCTGAAGGCGAAGAAGGCCGACAAGGCCACGATCGACGCCGAGGTGTCGCAGCTCCTCGGACTGAAGGCAGAATACAAAAATCTCACCGGAGAGGAATACTCGGCCGGCCCCCGAACCAAAGAGCAGAAGGAACCGAAAAAAGCCGATGCGACCCCAAAGAAGCCCGAGCGAACCCCAAAGAAGGCGGATGCGGCCCCAAAGAAGCCCGAGGCGACCCCGAAGAAGCACGAGGCGACCCCGGAACCCGATTCCCGCAAGCACCAGACCCGCCTCGGCCTCGAGGCCAAGAAGGCCGAGAACCTCTCGGAGTGGTTCAGCCAGGTGATCACCAAGTCGGAGCTGATCGAGTACTACGACGTGAGCGGCTGCTACATCTTCCGTCCCTGGTCCTTCTCCATCTGGGAGGAGATCAAGTCCTTCTTCGACGCGGAGATCAAGAAGCTGGGGGTGGAGAACTGCTACTTCCCGATGTTCGTGTCCCACGCGGCGCTGGAGAAGGAGAAGACGCACATCGCGGATTTCGCTCCGGAGGTCGCGTGGGTCACGAGGTCGGGTCAGAGCGACCTGGCCGAGCCGATCGCCATCCGGCCGACGAGCGAGACGGTCATGTATCCCGCCTACGCCAAGTGGATCCAGTCGTACCGGGATCTTCCGATGAGGTTGAACCAGTGGAACAACGTGGTGCGGTGGGAGTTCAAGCACCCGCAGCCGTTCCTGCGAACGAGAGAGTTCCTGTGGCAGGAGGGGCACACGGCGTTCGCGACGCGGGCCGAGGCGGAGGACGAGGTCTACAAGATCCTGGACCTGTATCGTCGCGTCTACGAGGATCTGCTCGCGATCCCGGTGGTTCCGGGGCGGAAGACGGACAAGGAGAAGTTCGCGGGCGGGGAGTTCACGACGACGGTGGAGGCGTTCGTGTCCGCGAGCGGGCGGGGCATCCAGGGCGGGACGTCGCACCACCTGGGCCAGAACTTCTCGAAGATGTTCGAGATCGTGTTCGAGGACCCGGAGACGGGGGAGAAGCAGTTCGTGCATCAGAACTCGTGGGGGATCACGACGAGGACCATCGGGGTGATGGTGATGGTGCACGGGGACGACACGGGGCTGATCCTGCCGCCGCGGGTCGCGTGCGTCCAGGTCGTCGTCGTCCCGTGCGGCATCACGGCGGGAATGAAGGAGGAGGACAAGGCGAAGCTTTTGGAGAAATGCGCGGAATACGAACGCCGGTTCCGCGAGGCCGGGATCCGGTCGAAGGGCGACTACCGCGACAACTACTCGCCGGGGTGGAAGTTCAACCACTGGGAGCTGAAGGGCGTCCCGTTGCGATTCGAGGTCGGACCCCGCGACGTCCGCCAGGGTCAGTTCGTCGCGGTCCGCCGGGACACGGGAGAGAAGATCACCGGGCAGGAGAAATCCGCCATCGAGGAGGTCGAGAACATCCTCACCGCGATCCAAGCGAACCTGCTGAAAAGAGCCAAAGACGACCTGGACTCCCACATCGTCCTCACCGACGACTGGCAGGACTTCTGCTCCCAACTCGACCGGAAGAACCTCCTCCTCTCCCCCTTCTGCGGCGACGGGGACTGCGAGGACCGCGTGAAGAAGGAGAGCACCCGCGACGAGGCCCAGGAGCCAGGCGCCCCCGCCATGGGAGCCAAGAGCCTCTGCATCCCCTTCCGGCAGCCGAGGGACCTCGCTCCGGGGGCCAGATGCATCCACCCGGCCTGCACGCGGCAGCCGCGGTTCTACACGCTCTTCGGGAGGAGTTACTGATTTTTTTCTTTTTTTCAGTATTTTTTTTTTTTTGCATTTTGTTCGTCGGAAAAAAAAATTGCAGGAATGCTTCATCCTTTTGGTGCGTGGGGTTTTCGGCAGCCTTTTCAACTCGTTTCGGAAAGATTCGATCGTTCGTCTGTCATGATCAAGGAAGTCTTTAATAAATTCCGATATTTATTTGCACAATGCACGTGTTTCATATGCGATGGGAGAGGCTCTTCCTGATTGGTTCTCGGTACCAAAATGCCAGAAAAGGCATCGAGAGAGAAAGTCGAGGTCGTTCTTTCAACTTCGAAACGAGGAAAAGATTAGATTCCGATTGAACAGATATGAATTTTTAATTGCAATTTTCTCACTTCGTTGCGAATCCATATTACAAGACTTGATTGGAAACGAATGACAAACAATAGTGTTTGTGCAATGAATATTTATGAAATATATACAGCGTATTCCGTAGGCATTACAGTGGATGAATTCCAGTTTTGCATGCGAAAGAAAAGCAAAAGGACTGCACTTTGCAGCCGAGACCGGAATCTAATGAATCAGCGGTTCGCAACTTTTTTTCACCCACGGAACCATTTCTGTGCAATGAGACATTCGCGGCACTCCTACACAGTCCCATGGACCGACAGATTCACTACTACAAGGGTAAACGATGTTTCTTTAATGCATGACCTATAAGCTTCTCCATGGAAATAAATTAATCTCTAGTCCTTTGCCGGACGGCGTCGTAGTGGGAAAAATCAAGCAAGAGAAGCAAGGAAACAAGACCAAAGACGAGGGGAAGTTCGTGGACCTCCCGGGAGCGGAGACGGGCAAAGTCGTGGTCCGCTTCCCGCCCGAGGCGAGCGGGTACCTCCACATCGGCCACGCCAAGGCGGCCCTGCTCAACCAGTACTACCAGAAGAGTTTCAGCGGGAAGCTCATCATGCGCTTCGACGCCATCAATCCGGAGAAGGAGAAGGCCGACTTTGAGCAGGTCATCCTGGAGGATCTCAGGCCCGCTCAGAAAGACCGAAGTATAGGCATCAATCAACAGGTTGAATTTCGATGAATCCCAAAGGAAAATCCATGGATCGGGAATATCGTTGCCTTCTCATCCGTTCACGAGGCCTCGGCACCAGCCTCGTAGGCAATGGTCCAGAAGCGAAATCTGGCAGCCCTAGATCAATTGAGACGGTTGCTGAAGGACTGGGAGAAAATCCCGCAAGATAGTTGCAGCAGGTCTTGGTACCTCATTGAGAATCGGTTGAATCAATGAGAAATTATCAGCTTAAGAGATGCATTACTTTAATTGAAAGTAAATACTTACGGCCTGTCCGAAAACTTCCTGCCCGAACCCATCGTTATGTTAATAAAATCCCCGAACTCAGCATCTCGCATTGGAAGCCACTCCCACGCTAATTATTGCTCATATCGAGCGATCAGTAAAAGCCTTCTCAAGCCCAAGTGCTGCATTGTCCGAAAGTTGCTCGCAGACGTGGGGACGCAAAGGAGGACAGAAGACGATTTTCATTTTATCCCTCGGCGCACTGTTTTATCGGCGACATTCGTGTCTGCCTCTTCAGCAGCTTTATTTTTACATTCACAGAATATTTCGACAGTGGATCTAAGTGCACTTCTGACAGAATTTCTGTATTTCGTTGAGTCGCTTTTGTCATAACAAAGCCAATGGATCGGGCAACACTGGCACGCTGTCGCCAGCATGGCCGTTCCCCACCCGCGGGCACGTGTGCTGAACCGAGACCAATTATTTACCTCATATTGACCCGGTGTTGGTGTGAACTGCCCGCTGTCCCCGTCGATCCACGTTCGAGGCCATGAGCGGGTCACTCAAATCGTTTGTCAGCGAGAGCGAGTTGGAAGAGCGGCGGAAGAAGCGACAGGAGGAGTGGGAGAAAGTCAGGCAACCGGATCAGCCGCTCGGTGAGATTGTCGCTGCTGTGTTGTTGCTCCGGAGGCCGCACTCGTCGGGTTTGGGTTCGCTTAGGGCGAAGTTTTAATGTCGGCATGTTTCTCGTTTTTTTTTCTTTCTGTAAGAATGCTGGCGTCTTGCGTGCTTCTTGGGTAAAAAAAAAATAACTGTGATAATAGGTCTTCACTGATCTCCGCCTATAGAACGACGTTAGGCGAAGTGTAGCGCTCCTTTCCCTCCTTGTGGTGCTACTTATCAAAATATAATGGTAGGAGCGCTGGTGGGAGCTGAGAGGGTGTAGGCTCAGATCCCTGGAGTATCTGGCAGGTGGGGTGTCTAAGGTACAAGGCCTGGGGTTCCTATGGAACCCTTCACTCAAGGATCATAGGCCCTTTGCAAACAGCTCAAATAAATAGAGATAAAAATGCCCATAAATAACTTTAAATTTACTCTTGCAAAATGCATAAAAATTAAATTCTTTGAAAATATATTAGGATTACTTTCTCTAAAAAAGTTGTAAAAGTTTAAGATCACCAAGTAAAAGATCACAGAGATATATCACTCAACCCTAATTTAACAGGATTAGGGGGAGAGTCCAACCGATAAGGCAACTGGGCTCTTTACCCCGGGAGGGTAGAGCAAAAAGGGAGAGGCATTAAAAATTGGGAGGTGTTGGGCTGCAGAGAGGATTGGCCAGTTGCCCTTGCACTCCAAAGTTTTATAAATGGTGTCTGTTGTGGCTGACCGAAGAGATATGGTTGTAGATGGTGACTAGAAGATAGAAGAAAGGATATCACCACTCATAGCTGACAAGAAAAACCAAGCCTTGTTGCCTCCAAGCAGGTCCCAAACACACTCCCCCTGGAAAACCTTCTCCCCAGCTTCCTCGATTTTCCTCACCGGTTGCCTGATCCCTTTCTTGTTGCACAGTTTTCACCAGCACTTATTAACTTTCGGGTCTTTTACAATTTCATAACATGAGTTTAAAGGTTGCTTTAAAGTTACATAGAATGTGTTGCAATATTAACCACCATTCAATGCTTCAAACTTAAAAAATAAATTATATCAAAACCAAACAATGCCGATTATAAATATGGCGACGTCCACGGTCTTGCAGACCGGGGCCGCTGGTCTGGGAAAAAAATGGCTAGATTTACCGAAGGCCAAGGACAAAATTACAAAAGCAGATGGATGTAAAATGCGTTCTGGTCTTCCAAAAAATTTTGGGTGTATTCAGTATACAAGAGGGCTGGCAATCCATTTTAACCCTTTTGGGTCATGGTTGAGTGCCCGTTCCTTGTGACCTGTACTTCATGTGGGCCATCTTGTTGCACATGATGGAGGTAAGGCATTCAGGAATGTCCATCTGAATCCAACTGAAATGCTTTGGAATGTATGGAAAATAAAGTAGCTGAGGATGGTTTCATGTATAAGCACTTCAGCACTATGAAGTGCTCAAGTAATTTTTTAAAAGTAGCCATGTATTGTTTATAATGAAGGTATTGCAGTTCAGGTGCGTGTAGAAAGAAAGACATGGCCAAATGCTTCATAAATCTGGACTATTCTCTTTCTCATCATCATCAACATAAAGAAAAGAACTGTATAGGCTCATTGCTTGGTCTTTTTCCCATTGGGGGTCATGATGAATATTCAAAGCCTTTCCTGCACTATGTTTCTTTGACTTGTGAAGTAATTTTGTAAGCCTATATACATTTTTAGTAATTACTTTCTATACCATTTCAGAGGCACCTGAGGAGGAGTACGACCCAAGAAGTTTGTTCGAACGGCTGCAGGAACAGAAAGACAAGAAACAAGCAGAATGGGATGAAGCTCATCGGCTCAGTGAGTTGGCATTCTGGAACATTCATGTAAACAGGATATCAGCAGTATCATGCATGCATGTGTGATTTATTGTACATGTGCATTTATGTGATGTGTGCATTTATTTTGCTTTCATGTGTGATATTCATATGTTCTTTTCTCTGTGCCATGTCAGAGGTACTGTTTTTTCTGCAGGCCTTGATGTATGGTTTAGACTTCACTTTTCTTGCGTGTGCTGCCCCCATCATTAATAGCTTTATTTTCTATTTTGTTCCTTTACAAAGCAACACATTGCATTTGCTATTTTCTCAATAAATTTTCTCTATTTCTTCATTACCCTTCAGTCTGCTTCATCTTCAGCATGAGTTTCCCTCTCTATTATTGAGAAAGTCACTGTCAACATGAAGGAGCTGTTTGCACAAGATGTATGTCTGAGATCCTAATAATGGCATGTTTGTACTGCTATAGTTCTGAAACCCAAACTGTGTTTGAGCTTACCACCATGCAAAGTAAAGTGTAAATCCTGATTATTTTTGTTGAGTTGCAGCATGTTCTTGTTGTAGAGAATATGGTCAGAGGTCTTGAAAATGATGAAGCAGACTTCTTGAATCTGGTGGAGGAGACACGAGAAAAAATCGAGAAGAAGAAGGAAGAAGAGGAGAAGCAAGAACTATCTGAATTCTATATATCCTTTCTAAGTATTGATAAGACAGGAACAGTTGGGGCCTTTTCCCAGTAAAACCTAAAACATATGATTTGTCTTGACATTCATGGTAGTATTCATACTGCATGAGGTTGCTAGAAATGCAGGTGCTAAATAGTAAAGACAGTAACATGTTGAGTATGAAATGGTGGGTTTCTTTAGAGCAAGAGGGAATTTTTCAGTGAATGAATCCTTGACCAGCTATGAACACCAGGGGGTAGCGAAGTTGCAAGAGGAATCCCTGACGGCCCGAGCGAGAGTGATTGCAGAGGAGCCCAAGAGACCACAGTCGAGCGGGCAGCAGGGGAAGCGAATCTCCCATCAACGGCAGCTGCTGTCGGGGATCATCAAGAGGAAACGGGGCCCTTCAGAAGGAGACGAAGAACCGGACAAGAAGCAGAAGACGGACAGCAATTGCACTCAAGGTGGGAATTTGAATGGCAGTGCTCAAGAAATACAGACTTAATCTGGACTTTCACCAAATAGGACAATGAAAGGTGGGGAGCATTTTGCAATGGGCAATAGGCCATGGTACTGATTTCTTATTGTCCCACAGGCAGTTGTCAGGGGTGGCAAGTTCACCAGATCCATGTATATGTGTAGTTCATTGTTCCAAGTTGTCACATGATTGTGAGAAAGAAACACAATGAACAGTGGACTATTGGAAATTTTCTGTGGGCTATAGATGGAAATCCATGGAAATGCATTAACAAATGTTAGCATTGTACCTGTAGGTGCTTTGGAAGAAGGGAGTCCTCTGGTCGCTCACATGAGGAGACACTCTCATGCATGGCAACACTTGGTCACAGCCAAGTGTAACCATGCTGCTGCCTGTGGGACATAGGTAGAGACTAGTCAACATTGGATAGAAGATATTTCAACCTCCATCTTATGAGCCTCATTAAGTCCCAAGGGACTTTTGCCTATTTTGTCAACTGAAGCTTGGCCTGCTGATGGCAGATTTGTGAGGAAGTCATTTCACCTTGAATGAGGATGTTCAATGTTCTATCCCACATTTAACAGTACATAAGCCTGTATATCTTTCTATATCATGTGCATACTGAAATTAGTATCACAATGGGAGATGGGCTCAAATGTGGTTGGAGGTATGTGGATAAATAAGAGGTATTGTAAACTTACTTGCTCGGTTGTGTTTAATTCTATATCTGTTTGTCCTCTTATTTATTGAATGTCCTTTATATACATATATTCTTTTTTGAAGAAAGGTATTATTTTTGGTGAAGTCCATCCTAAAGACAAATGAGATTTTAAAAATTTAGGTTAGAAAATTTAGTATTGCGCCTGTAGCAGATGGATGGCTTCTGGTTCTTCCCCTTTCCCTCAATTGCCCTATAGTAATTCTCTGCTGTGCAACTGCTTGTGGGTTTCATTTGAATTCATGCATAAAGAAAAACAAGTAAATGCTCATAGTGGAAAATTTGCCTGAAAATTGACTTCCCATTTAATGAAAGGAGGCCTCCTATGGCAATAAATATTTGCAATGTCACGCTTTTCCCTTCTTTTTCCCTCTATTCAAAATGATACAATTTGTTTCTCTCGCGTCATCATTGGTGAAAAAAAAAAGCCCTGTCTACTCCTAGGCCTTCTCCAGAAAGAGCCAACTGACTCCATCCCAAGCAATCCATCAGGAAATGGAAATGTTCCTCGCAACGTAACACGTGTTCTGGGGAACATGCCTTGTGCTCTCCAGTCCATTGGGACATTACCTGGGATTGGTGGAACTTATACTGATTCAAGTGGAAGTGATTCAGACAGTTCCTCTGACCTGGAGTCATACTTCCATTCCAAAAAACAGGTGCAGGTGCAAATCACCTCGAAGAAGAGTCATAATTCCCAATGAATTGAGAAGGAATGCAGGTGAATGACAGCGTATTTTAGGAATAGAATGAAATGTGCTTGGGTCATCACATATGAGGAATGCATGCTGTCATGCAATGCATGTGAAAATTCTTTTTTTCCTCTGCTCCCTCCTCTCCATACAGTGCCCTGTTGTGATATGGTTTGAATAAAGAACTATGGATTCATGATCACCTTTCACAGTACTTCCCACCTGCTCCTTAAAGATTGGTTTGCATATCTTGCAAGTCAGAACAACAGCAAGGATCAAACCACTGTTGCTATATCCACATGGGGCGAGTCAGATTATGATAGATTGTAAAATGCATGGAACCATAGTTTCTCTGGATTTGAAACTTCATCTGAAGCCAATTGGACCTAAAATCCTCGCCAGAAATAGGTCTGTGGTGCCTCTGACAGATTTTCACAATATACTTACCTGCAGTTGGGCTTTGAGGCAAGAAATCAGGATCCCTTCTTCCAAAGTTTGATTGTAAGAACTGAAACTTTGGTACGTCCTGACCCAGCTGTTGATATACCATTTAAAAAAATGCTCGTTGGCTCATCACATACTGTACACTTAGAGCCCTCCAAGGTTACCTCAAGTACTTCACCTCAGGAGCTTCCCAGAATCACTCTTGGGGAAGGGATACCTTGGAGGATATAAAAAAACATGTTTGATGAGTACCTTTCTGGAAGATGTAGGCTGCTCATTTTGAAATTACCCAATATTGGCTCAGTTTCCTCCTATCTGATTGGAAAGAAAGTTCTCGGAATTTCATGAACAATTATTACAACCCAGTTTATTTAAAAGCAAAATCATCTCAATCATGAATGTAATCACCATTGGCCTCTATCACTTCAAGCCAACGTTTATGCAAACTATGGATGCCATTCCAATAGAACTCTGGCAGCTGCGCTACGAAAAAGTTGGCCAAATCGGTTTTCAGGTCGTCTTGGTTGGCGTACTGCTTTCCACCCATGTGATGGTCCAGGGCAACGAAAAGGTGATAATCGGACGGGGCAAGGTCGGGGCTGAAGGGCGGATGCGGCAGCACCTCCCAGCACTGGTCCAGTAACTTTAGATGAGTCTGTCTAGCGGTGTGCGGCCGGGCATTGTCGTGGAAGAGGATGGTTCTCTGTCTTTCTGGGCGTGTTTCAGCCAGTTTCTGCTGCAGCCGATCAAGTTGCTGGCAGTAGTAGGCAGCAGTGATGGTGGTGTTTTGCAGCAACAGCTCAAACATGATGATG